CCCCACCCCGGAAAGATCAGAAAACTCTGTCACGAGTCACGTGAGGGCTGTCTGAATTCTCTAATTGCGATCGATCACCGCCTACCAGATAACAGAGGCACGCTACAGCATATTCTCAGTTTCCTCGTGAAATTTCGCCTCGTCCCGATGCCCCAATCGTTCCTACCCACTATCGACGGTACCATTCAAACTCCGAGGAAGGGAATCGACATTCCCAGCCTTTAAATCCCTCCTCCGTACGTTGCTAAAAACGAACGCCTTTCGCAACCCTCTTGCTCCCTTATACAGCGATGCAGAGCCAGTGAAAGTGAGAGAGAGAGAGAGAGAGAGAGAGAGAGAACGATAGAGAAGTTAAAAACAGAGAAGCAACCACCCTCTCTGACCGAGCGAATTCGTAGTCGGTCCGAGATATACCCGTATAGCCCAACTTTATCCCCCCGTTTCACCACGGGAGGTTAGAGTAGGTTAAAAATAAAAAACGAAAGTAGAAAAAATCGAAAAAAAGAAAAAAAAATTGGAAACGCAAGAAAAAACGACGAACCGAACGGTTGGTACGCGTCTGAATTAAACGCAATTTCAGATACGTCCACAAAGAGAAACAAGATTCCGACTGGTACTTTGTCCGCGTAAAAACTTCCCTCGCGCGGCGATGTTCGCCGTACGCAACGACAACGATGGAAACCGCCAAAGACCCAAGTAAAACATTGTCAAACGTTAAACCCGTATTACGCAACGTCCCAGGAAGAACGACTTACCTTGGGAATAATACAATTTCTTCCTCTACCCCGCTTTTGTTTTTCCGCGTACCACCCCTTTTTTCCACCTACCTCCCAATAATTAACCCATTTATTTTCCCCGTACACCAGCCATCCACCGTATAACTCTTAGACGTTCGTCCACCTCCCATTTCGATCTACGTAACTACTATCCCGGCAACTTCTTCCCTCCATTCTTCGTGGATCGACTTCGGCGTATCCGTTCCGTCTTTCGTTAGCTGACTTCTCGCTGCACGTTCCGCGCAGCATTCGCAGCACGGCAACCGCATTTATCAAGTAACACGAGAGCGGAGTAGGGCGTTCGCTACGTGTTCTATCTATAGTTATAGCAGTACGCGTACGTACCGCATACGTATTATTCTCTGCTCTCGAAGCAGAGAGTACGCAAGAGCCGCCTAGGTGTGCGCAAGGATATGACACTCGGGCAAGAAGCACGCGAATGGAGTAAGAGAGTCCTGCCACTCGTCCCCCGTGATTCTGACTCGGGAATGATAGTTGGACTAGGGGCGAGTGCGGCGGAGGAGAATCGCAAGATAGGAAGAAAGAGATATATGATATGGAAAAAGAGAGAGGGCAAGAGAATGACAGAGAAGATCCACAATGATAAATTGGCAGGCGCGCGGATAACGTGGAAATAAATTCGCTCGGAATGTTCGCGAGGATGGATGACGGATGACGAGCATGACGGTTTCTGGGAAGTGCCGACCAAGTGGATGACGGATTCTGGGATACGAGGGAAAAGAGAGGGAGGGAGGGGGAAAGAGAGAGAGAGAGAGAGAGAGAGAGAGAGAGAGAGACACCTCTACTCCCACTGTGGTCAGAGCAGCGACGTCCGTGAACCTCTTTGGCTGTAATCGTGACAGTACTTATTGATTCGAACCGGGCGAGTTTCACGTAGTCCGCCAAAGCCGAAGTTTGTCGGTCTGAATATAGCCGCGAAACGAGGATGCGGACGAATGAACGGGTCGAGTATGTTGGTCGGTGTTGGTGAGAGCGGCGATCCCGGGAATAACCGGAAGTCAGTGTTACCCGTAGCTTAATTTTTTCGTAAATAATAAAAGAGACGAATAATGAGGATATTTACGAAATTTCGTTTTTCTTTTTTTTTTTTGTTCTCGAGATATATTTTCTCATTGGACGGACAAAGTTTCGGAATGACAAACCCCGGAAACGGACTCGCTCTCTCGCTCGACGTCGACCCTAGATCGTCCACGTTGATCGGTGCTGGAATTAAAACTTTTCAGCCGACGAGGAGGATCGTCGGGCACTGTCGTGTACGTCAGGTGGAAGGATATGGTAAACGTGGGTCCGCGTGAGAGGACGAGAGACAGACAGAAGGAAGAGACAATAAGAGAGAGCGAGAGAGTCGAAGAGCAGGAAGTCAGTGAGACGAGTGCAGCGGCAGAAGCAGGGAAAGAGGAAAAATTGGTGGCGCACGATGCTGCAGAGGAGGATGAAAAGGATTTGGTCCACAGGGTAGGCAGGGTAGGTGAAGGTACGGGCACGAGGTAGGTAGGAGCAGGAGGGCCGGGTAGGAAGAGGGGTACCAAGGGAGGAGACGAGGAGTGCGTGCCCGAGGGATCCCAGGGATGGGGAAGGAGGAACGTGAAGCGCGACGGAGGGAGGGGAAAATGGCGCAGACCGAGAGTCGTGGGACTGGGGAGGTGAGGTGGCAATCAATAAATATACAGAACCAGCAGAGCTGCTCGTCGCGTCCGTCGATCCGTCGGTCCGTTCCTGCGTCCCCAAAGCAGCCACCCAACCTCCCCGCCCCGCGACCCAACGGCCGACCCGAGAGAGGCAGAAAGCTCAGGAGAGACTCCGCCGGAAGGAGGAGAGGGAGGTGGAGAAACCCGAGAACGTTAGAGGAGACAGAGCCAAGTTATATAGAAAGAGAGAGAGAGAGAGAGAGAGAGAGAGAGAGAGAGAGAGAGAGACTCGTTGGAGATGGAAGAGTTAGGGAGAAGCCAGAGAAGCTGGTGGAGGATGAGTGCGAGGCAGGAGGTAGCGTCAGTGAACTGGAGGAAGAAGGAGGCTGGTGCCATTGCTGCTTCTGCTGGCCTCTACCGTTTCTCCTGGTTTCCATTGCCGGAGGTAGAGAGCAGCGAGATAAAAAGAGGAGTCTGGCAGGACGGAGAGAAAGCGAGAGAGGGGAATAGGGAGAAGAGAGGTAGAAAGAGAGAGAACAAACGTAAGACCCACAGCGTGATGTTCGCCATGAGTAATGCAGAACGTAATCGTTAAAGGTACAGTCAACCTTCGTTACTTCGTACGAAGACCGGAGAACCGACGCACAGGCATATGACGTACTTCCGTCTCCGTGAATGACAGACCCGGTTCAGGATCTCCAACGTGTCATGACCCAATTACACGAATCTAACCCCAAAAACTAGGCTGAGGATCCACCTTGATTGTCGCATCGGTCAGTCAAAGCCTTCGTAAATGTCCTTATCAGCACGCTTCGACGAACCGATTGATAAGCAGATACCCATACAGACCGAGGAGCGAGACTCGTGGAATAAAGAAATGATTAAGGACCACCGAAGACCCGGGTTGACATCAGGCGATCCGGAGGAGCCGCTGGTAATCTCTCGTATCGCGAAACTTCAAGTAAAACTGACAAAATGATTAATGACGTTAAACCCATCAGAATGAACCTGACTATCGTAGAGACTTCCTGTCTGAGATCCCTCTTCCGTATCTTATGTCGTACCTTCGTCCCACCCCTCCGACGCTTAATCCGCCCCTCACGCTCATCTACATCTCAAATGAAAAAGCAAATATACCGTAGCCCAAGCTACTGCCCAAATGGCCGAGGACACAATTCAGGATCGATCGTATGTATATTTGCGACTGGTTTTCCTGCTTCGCACTCACAGTCGCCAACTTCAGGGCTTCGATCGACGTTTCCACAGGACGGTTAACTGCGTACTTGTTTCTTAGGCCCGAGCTTGTGGCAGTGGTGCACGAGTTTTACGGGACGTAGGAGAGAAGAGCTGGGTAGGAGGGGTTAAGGGGGT